ATTACTAACGTCTAATCATTACTTCATTAGCAATCTGATGTACTAAGTTTACACACACAAAAAAAAAAGCCACAGATGATGTCAAAAGTTCTATTTTACAGACTGGCATAACTGTTCAGTTACAGTACAGCACTACATAAAGGCAACGTAAGCATCAGTGTAGCTTGGAAGGAAAGCAAAATATCTACAAGACAATATGGGGCAAAATTAGCTTAAAGTATAAATATCAAGAACTGCTATGAGGTGGTACCTAGTACATGACACTGTTCACAGGCAAAGCACTACCTGGATGCATTTTTATGCCACCCTGACTACAAGCAAAGCTCACAAGGTAAACGTGACAAGCCACTTACGCTTCATGCTTTTACTCTTGTAATCAGGAGAAACACTGGAAATTACATACTAATTTCTAAAAGACAAGTAAGTTCAGAACCTAACCTGAAGTTTGGAGTAAGGCACCTGTATTTATCAGATTAACATTTTGGAAAGAGTTGGGGCAGGAAATGACAGGCTCCTCAGCAGGGGATGGCAAAACTCCATATAGCCACAGGAGACAAGTGGAAGGTAAATGTGAGACAGAAAGGAAGCAAGGAAAAAGCAAGGAAGGACCAGGTTGTCCACAACAGATATTGGTGAGGTATTGTTTAAGAACAGATGGCAACCAACAGTGAGGCGACACAAGGCACTCGGTTCCCAGAGATTTAGCAGTCCTTGGCGCAGCCGAAAGGCTTTTACAGTAACCTGACCACAATGCATGTTCTTCCAAGGAGACAACAGGGGGGAAGATATTTTCATACACTGCACTGACTGCTTGAGAGCCAACAAGACAAAAAGCTGAGGAGTTGTAAGGATTAATATGAGGCATTAAGCTTTCTGGCACTGCACAGCAAAGACCTGAAATCTAAGGTCCTGGGTGCCACACAGCAACCATGCAAATTATTTACCAACACCAGTGACTGCTCAGTTCAGTCACACTCATTATAAAATAATGTACTGTTCATAATTAAAAGTACACGTATTCATACACATCTCAAGACACAATCGAGGAGAAAAACCCCAAGCCCCCAGCAGGAGTGCCAAAGTACGCTACCAGCAACTGGCTCCAAATGTCATCCAGGGCTGTTACACAGATGGAATTTAAGCAAGAAGTCCTGGCGGTTTAGCTCTACTACTTCTGATTGATTTAAAATAGAAACAGTGCAAGCAAAACAGTGTTTGTTTATTCAGACAAAGACTGATTCTCACTTACTAACTTCAACAAACATAAAAATTACATACAGTTAGTGAATTTCAACTTGTTTCTGGCCAAGACAAAAAAAAAAAAACACAGAGAAAACAAGAGATCCCTTTTTCTCTCTTCTGTAAATAAAGAGGGCGCAACATGACAAAGAACTGCTTTTCAGGTCTCAGTCATTTCCTAAAGGAATTACCAATATTATTCTAAGTAAAATGAAAATATTCCACTGCACTTGCACAAAAAAGAAAAGCTACTTTTATCATGGGCCAGCTCAATGCCTCAGTGCATTTTGATTGTCAATACCTAAAGCCCTTTTCAGTGTCTTTTGCTGAAGAGATGTGTAATGGACAGAGTACTTGATTTTAAATGACTTTATCAGAGTGCATAAATAAAGCCAGAAACACTAGTGCCTCATGCAAATATAGTTTTATTTAAAATAAGGAGATGCATTTAATTTGAAAGCAAATGCCTCTGTATCCACCCTGCCTCATACATCTGAATGACTCAGCACCTGCCCACAAAAACAGCTGTCATTATTTTAAACCACAATGTAATGGGCTACATCCATTACCAATAAAATGTTTTCAAATAAAGCATCTTGGAAAAATAATCTGTATGCTCCAGGCTTCACAGACCTCAAGACAACATGAAGCACGTTCATTTGTGTTTTCTGCAGACGCTTTTTTTTTTTTTTTTTTTAAGCGCCCAGAATTCTGATCAACTCAGGAATTAGGGAAATTTAATTCTCAATTACTGGAAGCTCCACACAGCAAAACTCAGTCTTACTAATACAGATAAGCTGGTCAGACATCCATTGCAAGAAGAGAAGGCAATCCTTGCACGGGGTCTCTCCATAGCTGAAACAGCCTAAAGAGAGGATCATTTACTTACACAGGAGGTAAGGAGGGAGCTAGAAATGTCTTGGGGGTCCCATATCAGAGAGCTGATGGTCTGATGACAAGCAGTTCATCACATCTAAATGTACTTTATTCAGCAGGCAGCATTCCCTGCTTTTCATTCAATGTCTAAGATGCAAAGAATACATCAGCTCACCCACATTTTCATAATGCCTCTGCCAGCACTGAAGATCAACTTTTTGAGGTGAAAAATCTGTGAAGCAGACCTTCAGGAATGCACGTGGCCAACACCAGTGCTACACAAGGTGTCTTGCAGACTGAAGAGCAGAAGTCACGCAAGGGATGACCAGGGAGCATGTGCATGTCCCTGTGTGACCACGGGGTCCTGACAGCAGTGCCTGGGACACCCAGCTCAGGACATCCGAGTGCCCGCCACCCTGCTGACTTCAGCTGAAGCCAGCTGGTCAGGCAAGCCGAGGGCTAAGCACACATGAGGAATTAAAAAATATAAAATATAGGGAGTTTCTGCAGTGAATGCCACGCAGAAAGAAGACAAACTCCAACAAGGCTAGATCCATACAAGAGCAAGTCTGACCAGTCCCCTGTGATGCTCCCACTTTTCCTATTTGCTATCTGACAGTTTAAGTGCTTTTGCTATCGATGAGTGGTTCCTGTAGGAAACAGCCTGCTCTGGCATGTTGGTTACATGCTGATAATGGCAAATGGATTGCAGAGTAAAGTGTCGCACTTCTGTGCAGAGACGATGCTTGGCTCATTCAGAATACCCACTGCCTTCAGTTTTCATGATCATCTGCTTTCTCACACAAACCAACGTTCTTGCTTATATTGGGCTACATTTGCACCTCTGCACGTAACAAAAAATTATCTTGCATGGAGTCACACCTTGCCAATTAAGCAGAACTCCGCAATGACATTAAATATCGTTGGCGGGTGGAATGAGTTTATGTCAGAGAAAGCAAAACACCACATACTGTGCATCAAAAGGATTCACATGTACAGGGTTTTTTAATCGTTTGCCTGTGTGAACCTGAAACTTCCAAGCGACCCACATTTACAAAGTAATTTTTTGTTGTTGCTCAGGTAAAGATCCAGAACCACATTTTCAACATAAAACCCAAGTGACTGCGTGTCACCAAAATGTATTAAGATTAAACAAGTATCAGGATAATAAAATATACTGCAGTAATTTCTTAAGAGTACCTTTCACAACCCATAGCTAAACCAGTCTCTTTGCAGGACAATTTTCTAAGGCACAAGTTTTACTTCAAGTAGCTCAGAAAGATGGATTTACCATTCAAAACCAAAGTCACGTTCACATCAGACCAAACTCACATCATACACTCAGAGATGGTATCATGTTATGTTACAGTCCTCTTGCCACCTGCCATGAGGCGTGCCTAACCTACATAAGGAAGCTTTTGCAAGACAAAGACTGCATTAAATAGTTGCCTCAATTATTCTTTCAACAGCTGATCTTCAGAAGGCAGCCTTGGTTTTAAGCAGAAGCTTTTAATGTACATATGTGCCAAAGCAATCTTTAGAAGCGGCTGCCTCCGCTAAAGTTTTAAGTTAAGTCCTAAAGTTTTAGGACTTTAGAGGAAAAAAACAAGGACTAGATAGAATAAGGTATTTGGGGTATTCTCAAATTCAAAGTAACGCAGTATAACCGTGGGATGTATCAGAAGAACTGGCCAAACCTGTACAGCTGCGATGATTCGTAGCTCTCACAAGCAGAAGAAAAACGTACAGGCTGCACCAGCTCAGCAGAACCACGGGAAAGCTTTATTTTAAATACTACACCCACTTACTCTAGCCAATTTTTACAGAACACCGAGGCTGTCCTTCCTCAAGGAATAAAGAAAGTGTAAAAGAGAAAAGAAGCGAAGAACCTAGCTCAAGACAATCTAGACATTTTATAGACAAAGACTGCCCCAAAGGCCATGCCCATTAAATGCAGGGCGGTTATTTTTTATAGGGAAAGCAACAAGAGGAAAAGAGTGAAACGAGGACATCAGAGTGATCACAGTGCTCTGCATTTTGACAGGAATGCACATTTGGCCAGAAGGACCTGATGCAGTTGAAAGGAGTCAGACTGCTTTTGACTGACAGAACTTAGTTATCAACTGTCAGAAGCACCAAAGGAGCTGCTGTAGTTTAAGGTTCCCTTGCATTTGGCATCTCCACCTGATGCACCGCAAGTCAGCACAGAACACACATCAGTTACGGAAGTGACAAAAGCTGTAGAGAAATAAAACAGCATGGCTGCTCCAGCAATAACATTTTCAAGAATATGCCTGGAGAGTCTACCTAATAGGAATTTTCAACAAGGAACACACATGAAAACAAACATGGATGCACAAATAAGATGCAGAGAAGGATAGGGAAATATAAACTGTATTAGGACTGCTGTAAACCACTGACATCTAGAGATAGGCAAGAAAAATGCAGAATAAACTGTGGCACAAAACTTTCATATGCAATAATTCCTAATTTTACTTCACAAGTCATATTTAATTCGCTCCAATTTTTCCCTTTTGCGCTGCTTGTGATGCACAAGGATCAGAAACAGTCTGTCTAGATTACCACAGCAATGGCAGACATCCACGCCACATGCTCAGGCCATGTTTGACTAAAGCATTTGCATCCTAGGTTACACTGTAGACTTCCCATTCTCTAGTTCCTGATTCTATATCACATATTCTTTAATTCTATATCATTAGTAGTCTGTATTCTGTCTGACAGCCAGTTTGTGAATGAAGCAGTCTACAATTTAGTAAGCTAGTAAAACAGTCTTAGTGGAAACCCCCTCCGTGGGCCGTCTACATGCTGCTCTGATATAATCACAGATCCCAGGAAAGACAGAATTAGATTGTGCAGCTTCTTACCTGCAGCTCCTTTGAGACTCTCTCTAAGTGGTTAGTTATCTTTTTTATTAGGTCACTATACATCTGTTCCGAATGCTGCTGGCATACACATTTATACACACAACTGCAGAAACAAATATAGGAACAAACAATGAACTTAACAACAGTTTGCAATGAAGGGTAACAGACTTCAAAATATTTTGTTCAAGTCTCAATTAAGAGGATAATGGAGTTAACTGAATGATTGCTGAACTTTTAAATACAGTCCTAAGCTTGCAATGACCTCCAGCAGACTGAAGTCTTCCCTGGAGGTCCCAGTGTCTCCATCCCATTCCCCCTCCCCAAACTCACTTTAACTTATAATGAGTTGTCTTAACAGTGTACTTCAGAACAGCCAGGACAATTCTCTCAACATCACACTCCTAATTCTGGCTTTTATCTCTCCTATGTGAATGAAGCTCCACTAAAATAAGCAGGTTTAATGATTCTAGGTCAAAACCCTTAAAAGAAGAGTAACATTGACAAGCAGTCATAGCATTTGCACCAAAACCGTGCTGGCATTTTAAAAAGAAACAGTAAAAATTCTAAAGTTATAGCCCAAGCATGTTACTCCATCCTTTTTTTTTTTTACTTAAATTCTAGGAAAACCTTACATTTTTATAATAAACAAATTTTTTAGCAACAAAACTTAAAGTCTACATTCCATGGCTTGGCTGTTTTAACTCTGGTTTTTGGTGTTACTTTTGGTTTTTAAGAACATTCTACTGCTCTCACACTGCAATAACATAACTGCAAAATAAGGCTATGAATTGAAAACCTATTTACCACAGTTGTAAAACAGATACACATACTACTTTCAGCAAGTCATTACATTAAGGCAGTCATCATCGTCAGGACTAACACCAACATCATCTCTACCATGCAGTTTTTACTTCTCTTCAGGGCTTTCATTCTTTGAAGTCAGCAATTTGAAAGCCAGCTGCCAAAGATCAAGGCACTCAAGGAAGACTTGGCTTGCCCAAGATACGAGGTGAAACCTTCTTCCCATACTTCTGCTCTGCTCCCTCTCCCTCCAGCTCTGTTCGGACTAATGTGCCAGCGACTGCTCCCTCCGCCACGTGCAAACAAACTACCAAGGTGAGATCCCAGACTCGAATCCAGAGGTTTTTAATAGCACCGAAAGCCTAAAGCTGTGGTACAGCAACACTGTGTCCCTGCAGGGGAATTATGACATTCCAGTTTTATCCTGAGAAAGTGGTAAAATGACAAACAAACTGCAAAGATGGGGTCAAAACAACCGCAGACTATGGGCTATTGGAATTTTCTAATGCAAGTTAGAGGTTAGGCACCAACTCCAAGACTTCAGGGGCCACGACAGGGTGCTCATTCACTGACTGCTATCCACAAGTACAGCGTTCATCCCTATGCAGAGTCTGGTCATTTGGCAAACCATGCTATTTCTTAAAAACCAAAAGACCTCCCACACCTCTCCTAGTATTACATTTTAAAAATAAATTAGTATCTGTAGTTTGATATATTTAAGTATCAGTCAAAGTAGTCCTGTTTCTTTCACATGACGTCTACCAACAGCCGACCCTCTCTTGGAACAAGCAAGCGCAAAAGTCATTTTGGTATGATGCAGCAGCAGCAAAAATACTAATCCAACCTGAAAAGAAAAGCCAGACTGATTTTTGTGATCTCTGACACACCAGCCGGCCAGGTGCCAACAGCCAGTGGCCGTGTGTTCGTCTGCTCCACAACTAACCAGCATATAGCCACTTCCACAAGGTGACCACGTCATTTGCAATGACATTATCTACAGCAGGTTTTAAAGTACACCTCTGCTCAGTGTTGCACCCAAGATTGCCATGCCTGCTTCAGCAACACGTTCTGTAAGCAAACACCAGCCTTCCGATGCACATGCAGTGTGTTTACATTTTATTTGAACACTTCAAGTTCGAGGTTCCTTCCCCATTTTCAGATCCTGTTTTCAGTTCCTGATTGCGGATTGATTCTGTGAATCATCCTTGCCCTGCTGTTACCCAAGAGAAGCCAGCAGCTTGTTAGCCCTTCAGCATAACCAAACACCGTAGGAAAAGGAAGACCCAAGCAGAAGATTAGAAGATGAGCATTGACTGAGAGGGATGAAGACATGAGCTGCGTAAGGTGTCTTGAAGAACAGCAATCTAACTGCATCATACCTGGGAGGCAGCTGTAACTGTTGCCAGAAGTACAACTCAGCTGTTCACATTTTCCTCATCTCAAAGTCTCCCTCACATCTCTGTCCATATATTTACCCTTTCCTGACTACGCACAGGCAGGCTTTGGACTCAAAGATGAAAACAGTCACTAATCACACTGGGATACCTGACAAGAAAACTGATCCGTAGTAAATCTCTGCACACAGTTATCTCCTAGCTTTCACTGCTGTGGGGCAAACACCTACAGTCGTCAATGATCATGTCAAATACAGCAGTTTGGGTATCTAACAATATATTTCGAGTTTGTATTATGGAAACCTTGTTCCCTTTAGTCAGCACACAGACAATCAAAGAGACCACTGTATTTTCAACTCAGTTTCAATGTAAAAAAAATACAAAAGATATGTAGCTGTTTGAACCACTTCAAACACACCCCATGTTCAGACTAAAGAACTAGCCCGGGGAAGCAGAGAGGATCTAAACCTCACGTCTGCTACAAACTTTCTCTAATGCTCCAAGCACGCATCATCCTTGAATTCAAAAAAAAAAAAAAAAAGCAAGCAGGTTTACTTCCTTCCTCGATCTAAGTTGTCTAGATTAGAGGACAAGCAAAGGGACACTCTATAAAATAAATAAAACACAACCTCCCTGGCTGGAAGAAGCTGCATCAGAGCAATAATTACATCCACAGATAGAATTTTTAAAAGAAAACTTAAACTGACACACTAGCTTTATGAGCAACTCTAACCTACAGACAATCTTTCGTTTTGGTAACACACATGCAAGAGACGCCTGCGCGTCATTACAACACTGCATCAAGCATCGCCCTGATGTAGAAGGGTTATCTGTGAGAAACCTAAAACCTGTTATTCCTTTAATAAATAAAGCTTTTGAGCAGTGAAAAGATGAGAGAGATGAACTGCAGTTCTCTGAAAGCCGTGACTAGGTGTAGATCTACTCTAGGTATTAGTAAATGTACATTTACTGGGCCAGTAAATGTAGCAGCTATTTCCATCTATTTACCAACACCGTGGATACCTGTCACCTACAGAACAAAAATCTCCATTTTTGCCAATCTCCTAAGAAACTGCCAGGTCTCTAAAGCATTTCGCGTTTTCGTCTGGAGCAGTGGCGTGGTTTTGAAGCAAATCCCCTCCCCTCCCCGCTACTTCGCCCTAGCTTAGTCTGCAGGGCAGCTGTGGGGAGTGACAGCAAAGTAAACTGCAGCTCCAGGCCAGGTATGAACCAAATGCCCTCAGACAAGAATGGAGACATAAAGGACTGAATCTTCTGTCAGTCCTTCGGACAGCCTCTAACTGCCCATGCAGCAGGATGACTGGGCAAGGGGAGAATCAAACCAAATCCACCTGATGCAAAACACACAAATGGCACTTTATATGGATGGACCTTGGTACCACTTGCTTCTATTTACCTCTGCACCAAGTCAGTTCCTATTAGGCAAGACAGAGGAGCCTTTTGAAACATTAAGTCAGACGCCTACCATGCCAGTCCCTTCTTCCTCTGAGGAAAGGGATGTGGAGACTTTAATACATTTCTTAATATATTACACTAAGGAACTGTGGTGGAGCTTATTTAATGTTTTCAGCACTTTCTTCTTTAGCATTTATTCCTGTTAACATGGCATGTCAAGATACCTATCTTACTCATTCCACCATTTAAACAAGACTGTACTTCACATAACCTACCCACTTCCCTCCTCATAAATACAAAACATGACAAGGCTGCAAGATAAAACAAGCATTTAACTTTAAAGAAGAAAAAAAAAAAGGTAATGTAGCATTTAAGAGATTTCCTTACCTGTATATTTGTTCATAGGAGATAGGGATGTAGTCACCAGGACTCTGAGTTAAAAGTTGATCTATGGCACTGTCCAACTTTGGCCAATATGTGCTCTTATAGTCTTCAATTGTTATAACATTCATTACTACAAGAAAGAGACAAAACTACATTTAGTAACTTCAGCTAAGAGATAAGAAGCAAGTGAATGCTCTGCACTTTCAGATCACACCGATAAACTGGCCAAAAAAAAGTGGGAACAGTTCACTTCTGCTAGAATCACCTCATCTAAAACTAAAGTCCAGGCTTGGAGTTTTAAGTTTTATTTACAGAAAGTGAAAGTAAATCAGAAATCCTGCCAAATGAGTGCTTGGATGTTTCTTAGGGGTCCAAGTAGCAGGGGAAAAACAAACTCCTGGGAGTTCTAGCATGACAGTCTAATAATAATAATTTTAAAAAAGGGTAATTCAGTAGTTAGCTCAGATTAATAAGTTACACAACTCTGTGGGACTCCAGAATCAACAGTTAACACTGGGTCCTCACATACAGGAGAACAAGCTTCGGCCATGACTGTAGTTTTTGGAATACTCCTTCCCAGCAGATGTATTTATCTGACAAGTTTCAGGTGGGACCAGCAGCTTCCCTGTCCTAAAAGCTGATGCAATTCCCTCTGCCTGCAATTGCAGTTAGGCTCCAGGGCAATATTTTTGGATCTGTATTACAGTTCCCCCTCTAGCAGGGACAATAATATTCCCTTTCCAGATAAGAACCAACACAGGGAAGCACAGGAGTCATTTAAATTACCATTCCCCATCACTCCCTGGTTTTCCTCCTGAGCTTCCCAACAGCACCCTGTCGGACAAGCCACTCCGTGTGCCTTCACAGACATAGAAAAGCTTTAATCCCTCTCTTTTCAGGAAAAATTTCAGAACTAACCAGATGTGGCTCAGCTCCAACAGCAGCCACGGCAGAAGGGTTAACACCATCCCTTCAGAGAGGAACTCGCAGGACTACCTTGCTGGCTTGTCACAGCTCCACAGCACCCACCCAAAACAAAGCCCTCAGTCACAGCACGGGGTCTACTCCGTATCTAAACTATCCCACCCAGGATATCTAAAGCCATTTCTTCATTTGACATCCACATGTGGGTCTGGGCTACAAGGAGCAGAAAATGCAGTTCCCACCTTGAATGAACCATTTGAGACACCACACTGAAAAGAAGTATTTTGAACAGGGCTGCATTTTATACACATGCGTAAATGTAGATTCACTGCTGGGTTTGAGGAGCAAAATTGCTGTTATTTTCACAAGGGTTTGAAAGGAGCTGGGTAAGTAACTTTTGGCAGCATTACAAACAATAATTCTAGGGAAATACAGGCAAAACAGTTAACAGAATCACGACAAAAAGAAGAGTATAAAGAGAACATGGAATAAAGAGAAGCGCAAGAGAAGAAAGTGTTTGAATGCTATCTGTAAGAGCAGATATTACAGACTCCCCTTGGGTGTCTTTTTAGGGTATTTCAGCCAGAAATCTTGCTTACTGAAGAATGTTAGTGCAGTACTCGTAGCGCCCTCTCAACTAGCCACTGGTTCACTCTTCCTTCACACCCGTCACAGAGCCGATTTAGTCAACCTAAGTGCCCGATCAGTGAACAGGTCACGACTTCCAAGCGCCGCAGGATGCTGTCCCAGCACTCCAGCCTGCAACCTGAACGTGCAACCGCCTGCTAACAAGTCAGTAAAGGTTATGAGTGTGGGTACACAACTCTCAGGATGTAAGTGAGCAGGTCCAGCAAGAGCGCTTCCCTACGTAAAGGCGATCATGCGGCAGCACAGCACCTGCCTGACAGGAAATGCATAGAATCAGACTGGTTTGTGTTGGAAGGGACCTTAAAGCCCATCTAGTTCCAACCCCATTGCCATGGGCAGGGACACCTTCCACTAGACCAGGTTGCTCCAAGCCTCATCCAACCTCATTCACCGTTACCCATCTGTCTCACAATGACTTGCTCAAGTTCCGGTCTCTTACAGAGCCGAGGCAGATGTTCTCAGGAGCAGGCTCTGCGTAGCAGGCTTACTACTCAACCTTACATTCAGCAGCAGAATTTGAGCGTTTGTATTTCACTTTGTTACCCGAAAGCGAAAGTGAAAAAGGTGGGTCTCCATAGAAGCACTCTGTTCCACAGAAAACATTAAACTGAAGTCAGCACAAATATTAGACCAAGTCTTGATTTAAGATTTCAATGTATAATCACACCCACATCTGGTTTAACATATTAAATGAGCTTCATCTGAAAGAAAATAGTCAAAGAATTGAGAACGCTGCAAAATAATTTTTTAACAGGCTGTTGAGATGTCACTTTATTTTTACAGAATGGAAAAAGCAAGCAGCAGCAGACAGGAATGCTGGCCCATTGGAAGTGCTGCACAGGTAAAGGACAAAATGCTTTTAGGAACAGCCCCAGGGGATTTGCAAAGGAAATGCTGATGACTTCCAGATAACTTTCTACAGAAGTTACATTTTTATTCAAGAGACTCCTACAAGTGTAATTTCATTTTACTTCCACACTTCAGTTCTGAAAATAAGCCAACCATAATATTTATATAGTTGAGTCCAAAGACAACACACTGAACAATCACTATTTTTATTCTTCTAATTCAGAAAACAAATTACTTCAAAATTTTAATGACTGTCACAGGTTAGTAATGACCTTTTCTCCTGGCAGTGCTGACACACACACAAAAAGCAAAGGATGACTTAAAGCAGCACCCTGCAATTACAAACTCAGCAAGAACAACCTCCAGACCAGGAAGGAAAGGAATCACACAAATTCTTAGTAAGAAAAGACACATTGCCCTTTTAGAACATCCTTAATGTCTTAGTTTTTCATCTTTTTAGGATATCTGTCTTAAATGTTTATCCCTACATTCGGTATTCAAGATTTGAAAGGATTTGTCCAACAGCCTCTGTTTTCAAGTCGCACGGAAAGGGCGATACTAGAAGACCACTTTCTTTTAGCTGAGATTTATTAAGTTTCTGGGAAGTGACAGAGACATTTTGTAACAAAGTATGCCAGAATGCAGGATTTTGTCCAGCTACAGCAAGTTTGGGGTGGGGCTGGGAGAGAAATCAGCCTGATTGAATGGAAAGGAAGCCAGTACTTTCCAGCGAATTACAAGACTTCATAACTAAAGCTTGAGAAGCAAGTGCTGCTTTTCCACATACAGAAAAGTTCAAAAGCAAAACTGTTTAAGTCAAATGCAGCAGTGAAACCCTTTAAGTGAAAAAGAATATGCATGAGCTTCGTATCATAACCCAGATATTTCAGTATCATAGCCATAATCGAAACATAGCCTGCTCCAAGCTAGCAAAATCTTTGATACTAGCATCAATCAGAAGAACAGCAAAACCCACCAAGATTTTAAAAAAAAAAAGTAATTATACATCCCCCATGAAATTGATACGAAAAACACAGTTTAAAAAAGATGCGTGAACAGTAATAGGCACAGAACATAAAGAACAATAATAAGAAAAAAAATGATATTGTTGCTTTTGTTATTTACACAAGGCAACTTAACCTGAAAAACTACTCAAAACACTGTGTTCACACATAGAAACCATCCTTCTTTTTAAAACTAGAGCCAAAAAAAAAAAATCAAGGAACAGAGCAGGACAGGCAATCCAACCTACTGACAAGTAAGCAGACATGGCTCTGACAGTTCTCTGTCGTTTATTCTGACGATAAAAATCCAAGAAAGCAGCGAGGCATCTTTCAGCAGCTTTATTTCTTCTCCCAAAGTGACACGTATGAAGCTTTAGGGATGCCATCCAGAGGGACCAAGACAGGCTG